TCTTAATGAGTGTTAATGAGCTGATGTGTGGTGTTGGGCTCTAAACGTCCTCTCTGCCTCTCAGTCAAGCTGTGGGGGAAGATCAGCGAGAGTTTGGGCAAAATCTGCTGCGTGCGCCCGCACATCGAACGCTTCACCTTCGTTGGTAAGAATTTACAAATACGAACATTACAAAATAAAAGCTGAAGTTACAAAATAAAAGCTGAAGTTAAGAGACTGAACTGGCATTTATAAGTTATCGAGGACAAGATGGAGAAACAATCAGAATGTGATGTGTTGACTTTACACACACGACCACAACATTCACACATAATGAAAATAACCAATAAACGAGTGTTTTTATGTGGATACATGAACATGTTCTTCTGTGCTGTTCATTCCTTCTTTCTTTCTCATTACTGTCTAACATAAAGTTTTGATGTTTCTCTATAAAAGCAACAAAAACAGCTGATCTGGACGATCCGCCCTTCCCTCCTCGTGCTTCTCTGGACTTCCTCCAGCACAGCTGCTGTTTTTAGGCTGGTTTGTGATGCGTGTTTGAACCTCAGTTGAGGGATTTTTATGGAAATGGTGATGTGAACTTTTTGCTAATTACTTAACGAAGCGATTTTCAAATTGAGGAAGCCTCAGAGTTTGTGCTCGGGTGTAGATAAGCTCACAGCACAGGTGCCACCCTCACCTCTTCAAGCGTGCCGCGGCGCAGTCTGCTCATGTGACTGCATTAAGCCCACACGTTTTCTAGTGGAGGGAGAAACCAAACATTGACATGTGCAGAGCGGGGACATAGATGGAGCTGCCAGGCCGGAGGAAAAAGAGGAAGACCTCAAATAAGATTGATGAAGGTAGAGAAGGTCTGTGTGACCAAAGAGGATGTGAGGAGATCCACTGAACCCTGGAGGGAGCGCCTGAAAGAAGAAGAAGATGATGAAACATGCTCCTCATGATGCTCCTGACCTGATACCTGATGAGCGTGCTGCATGGTCAGATCTGCAGACTCAGCTCTTCTCACCAGTGATGATCAGTGGAACAGAAGGTGATGCCTGATTGGTCAGAACTAGCAGGTGTGGCAGAAGAAGGTGCAGAACAAGAGGACCTTAAAGTTTCAATCAGCTAAATTCAAAGTGGGGTTTTTGTATGAGCGGCGTCACAAAACATCTGATTCCACTTCACAGCTCAGTGTGTCAGTAAGAGCTGAAGACAGCAAGGCGACGCTATCACGAGGAGCCGTGTTTTCTTCACCGCCGTGTAATCACATGTGTTTGTCTCTCTGTGTCAGATGAAAACGCCAACCTGGGGACTGCGATGAGATACGAGGAGATTGGTGAGTGGGGTCTTCAGTGTGTGGACTCGTGTGTCGTGTCCTCTGGTTTTCCTTCCTGCTGTGTTTGTTTGTTTGTTTGTTTGTTTGTTTGTATCCGGTAAACATGATGTTTACTGAGGGCGTGTCTCTTTCCTGCCTGTTTGCCGTCTGTAGAGTTGCGCATCTTGCTCCTGTGTGGCAGTGATCTCCTGGAGTCCTTCTGCATCCCTGGCCTGTGGAAGGACAGTGATGTAAGCATACCATAGCCCCTCCCACTAACATGTAGCCCCGCCCCACTCACATGTAGCCCAGCTCCTCAGCTCTTTTCCCAAACTGTAGGCTGGATATAAAAGATGGACGTAGCTTTTGGGTGTGCGAAGTGAAGCCGGTGCCTCGAAAACTATTTGATGTTCATTTTGGAAATAATGTTTCCATCAAAGTAACGCAGGCAGTGAACCGGAGAGCAGGTTTCACAGTTAAAGCTCTCAGAAGCTTAACTCAAGGCTTCAAAAGTGGACTTCAGGGGCTATGTCCATTTTCAATATACAGTTTATTCCCAGGACTCAGCTGTAACGATGAATGTTGTTGACAAGGGAAGATTTTCCAGCGTTATTCTCTCCAAAGCGGCGCTGCACGCAGAGCAGATGATCCATAAATGAGATTTATGCAGTGAGATTCACCACAAATGCAGCGAGGTGTTTGTAGTGTCCGCGCTGTCTCTTCAGCCTTCGGCTGCATTAGAAGATGTAAAGTTACTAAACAGGCTGAGCAATAACAAGAAGTCCAGATTTCTCACTTCCTGTCGAATGTTTATTTAAACAGGAAGACTTTAAGAAACGTTTCTATGGAAGATAAACGGGGACACCTCGCGTTGGTCTGTTTGTATGACTTCAGTGAAACCGTAACACTGCACACGTGAGGCTAGTTACTTTTATTTTGAAGTCTTTGAACTGGAGGACACAGAATGGTCCCGTTCTGATTGGCTGCAGTTTTCCTGACAGCAGCGTTTCAAGGCCTGAGCTGCACTACGGCTGATTGATGATGCTGCTGACATCACTAAAGATCTGTGCTTGACACTTTCTGTGTTTTCATGGAGAAATGAGTCTCACTAAATGAAGACTCATAAACGCTGTGATGCAGTTTTAACGTTCGTTATAAACTCGCGAGGACTGAAAAGTTGCAGCAAACTTTCCTGTGTCAACAACCGAGGTGAAGTGAACAGGAGGCGATCAACCGCTTGTCAAAGGAAGCGTCAGAGGTTCACTCACCTGATGTGTGTGTCAGAGCTCGGAGGAATTTATTTGACTGCAGGTGTGTTTCCATCCACCTGTTTTTACTCACATTTTCAGTCTGAGATAAAAACGCGATGGAAACGCCAAAAATCAAATAAATCTGACGTAATGTGACTTGATCGTCCACCGGAGAGACCAAACCTGCTGAAACGAAATCATCAGCTGTGACTGAAGCGGCGAGGAAACGGTAACCTTCCTCATGTGAACGCTTAACCTGACAGAAATGTCTTATTTTATCACATTAACATGTTATTCTTGGATTCTTCTAGAGCAGCTTTGCATGATTTACAGTTTAAAATAATCCTACTGTGTCTTATACTGGGCCTCAACGCAGCCCCTCAGTTCATGCTCTGTCTGAAATGTGCTTTTTAAGCTCCTCCCCCTTTGAGCCATCCTTCTTCTGGTTGGCTAATCCCTCACAAACAGAAGGTTTCACGTCTGCGTGCCTGAGGTGACCATGTAAGGACAAACCCTCTCGATGACATCATACGTAGCCAACAGTGGAACAAAACTGAGAGTTTAGAGCAGCTCACAGGATCTAGATTTATGTGAAGATGAGCATCAGCCATCAGACATAAAAAGAGCAGCTTAGTCAGCTTTTCTTTTGCTCTGATGAAGCTAAAGTCGTCGTCCTGTCGTTCAAACCGACCTCAGCCTGAAGCTCGTGTTCCTGTGCTTCCAGATGGAGGTGATTGTGGGAGATTTTGGGATCGTGGTGGTTCCTCGTGATGGCACCGACACAGAGAGGATCATTAATCACTCCTCCGTTCTGCGCAAGTTCAAGGTCAGAGCTCACCTCCAGATCACATGACCTTTGACCCGGAGAAACACCCTCCAGCGTCTCAGCTCATTTCTGTTCTGTTTCAGGACAACATCATCGTGGTGAAGGACGCGATAAGCCACCCGATGGCCATCGTCAGCTCCACCAAGAGCAGGTGGGAACATTTAGAAAATGCTTTCACACGTTTCAGTTTCATGGTTTTCAGAGTTTTAACATTCAAAGAGGATTAAAATTAAATTAAAAATAAATTAACATTAAAATGAATTCATTCTGGATCCAAACTGAGCAGCACCAGCTTTGGGTTTAGTTTCCTCCTACTCCAGCTTGACTCGCGCACTCTCTGAATCTAAAGCCGTCCCACTGCACACCAGAGTCTGAACGCTCGCTGAATGATGTTGAAAGCGTGACCTTTGCGCCGTCTGTTTCTCCGCCCACAGACTGGCGCTGCAGCACGGCGACGGCCATGTTGTGGACTACCTGAGTCAGCCCGTCATCGACTACATCCTGCAGAGTCAGCTGTACATCAACGCCTCGGGATAGAGACGACAACAACCTGCCCGCATGAAAACAGGGAGACTGGAGGAGGAGGAGGAGGGGGAGGGGGGGTCCTACCTACAACCATCATCTATTTAAAACACGACCCCTCCTCCTCCTCGATCTGAAACTTGTCTGTCTTCTGTGTCAAACATATACTCTTCTTTGAGCTGTTGCTTTCCAGCAGGAGCGTTATTGTTCCTCCTTCTGTCTGTGTCATGTGACTTTACATCAGGGGAGGGGGAGGGGGGTATTTTGGGAGGTCTTGGGGACGATGCACAGAGGTAACTCCTCAGGGCTGTGGCGGCGACGGCGGTGTTTTCTCTTTCTCGTTCTTTATTAAGGTCTGCGAATGCATGACACAGTCGGGCATGCTCAGTGTGCGCAGGATCGTGCTGGGCGGGGCTTCATGCAAGAACCATTCATGAGCTCACGATGCCGGCCCGGCTTACACATCCACAGATACTTAGTCCCAATCTGAAAAAAGAGACAGCTGCAGCAGAGCAGGATGATTCCCACGAATTGGTTTGAGCCGTTAAAGATTTCGGCACAATTAACCCCGTCACCAAACACCCGATGTTCCACCTTCAACCACACTTCAACCATACTTCAACCACACTTCAACCACACTTCAACCAAGAAGCTCCGGCTGACTGAAGATGACAGAGCCTCCCAGTAAGATCAGAGCCTCCCTGAATCTACACTCCTTATTTCCTTAGACCACATGGACCAGTCTGAACCTCTAGGCTGGGTCAGTGCAGGGGTCACTCATGTTGCAGTACCGTGTAACGGCCACTAGTTGCTGACTCCAGTTCAAAACCTTCTTGTTGGATGACCTAAATGTGTAATACTGGCGTGCAGGAAGTCTCGCCACCACCTCCGGCTCTAAACTGCTTTTCTGCACACACACCAGAGCACCAGGCTCAGTCTGTGCACGGTGCAGCTACAGTAGCTAACACTGACCCATGTTTCCAGTAAGCTGTGAAACACCAACCCCAAATCCTTCCCAGGCTTTTCCCAGGCGTCACACTCGCGCGGTGTCCGAGGAAGGAGACGGCCTCCGGGGTCGGAGCAGCGCAGGGCGAAAGGGTCTAGAAGCTTCAGTCGTTCAAAACTAAAGTTAGAAAGAGCTCACACCAAGTGTCCGAGCGTGACGACTCAGCAGCACCAGCAGGTGGCGTTATGCTTCATTGTGTCCATCTTTATTTACAGTCTGTGGCGTTCTTGCATGAGGCCCGTCGTTTCCTGCAGCTCTTCTGCAAAAATGTAACACCGCGACGCTGCTGTCACATAATCCGGCTCTCAAATCTTCCACATGTAGATGCGCCAGGAACCAGAGCTCGGCACATACTGCAGGTAACCATCAGGCTGTAGCGGCTCTGCAGTGTGATGAAGATGACGACGGCGTCCGTAAAGAGGATGTCCTCGGCGGCAGCAGTGTTTAGCATCGTTCCTCCTCGTTTGCTCCCGTTCTTAGACTGCATGCTTAGACAGTTTGGTTCTGGCATGAGTGTTTATCACTTGGTAGATTATAATCTGTTGTGAACGTGTTTGCAAAAAAAGAAAAACAAAAGAAAGAAGTT